CCCCAAAACCCCAAAACCCCAAAACCCCTTTGTTAACATCTACTATAAATGTTTGTTAATATTAGTAGTGATAAAAAATTTATAATTATATTTCATTCATTATTGTGTATTCTATTGTACATTTTAATGCAGATCTCATTTAGCCAATCAACTATTTCTTTATCATCAGCCTACCTCTCTCTTACTTCTTGATCCAATAGCCTCTATATCTCTTTCAAATCCTCAGCAAAGTCTGATAGCTAATCGAAATTCTATAATTTCTATAGCCTATACTTAACCTATGTTACCTTAATCTGCTCCCATTCCAAATAATCATTTTTTAGTATGCTTTGTATTTCCTTGATCATCACTTCTTGTTCGCTGTCTAGTCTTTCCTTCTGGACTCTATAAGAGCCCTTCACGTTCCTCAAAAGATTTTCAGCCATATTCAATTCTTTGTCTATTTATCTTTGCCTAACTGAGATGACTTCTCTCAAATCAATTTCCTATTTGTCTAATTCGTTTTCGATTTTAGCCATATGCTGATCAATGCTCTCAACTCGCATCTTCAGGATTTAAAACTGCTAATGAACCCTCTAGTTTAACTAGATTTAGATTTCATCCAGGTAGTTTGAGTTGCACTCATTTATGATCTCATTAGACTCTATTCGACGCTTTGACTCAGCTTTCATGATGTTCTCAATTTACTTTAATTAATCTGAAACATCTTATAGACTGGCATCTGGTGAAGCACTGCTAATTTATTGTGCCATTTAAATTTGAATTATATTATATTGATTAATTAAGATAAATATAATTAAGCTAAAACAACTTTGCTACAAATTTACTGCAAATTCATAAATCTCCATCATCAAGAGTGTTGAACTAACGAGTGCTGCTCTTAGGTCTATTTTAATTAGATGTCCTTTACAATTCATTGAATTTATCAGAGTTGAGGGCCTACATCTATCGGATGATCTCATCATTCCTTAACTTTTTCTTTATTGCAAGAGGAGTTTCAAACTCATCATCTTAGTCTGTCTATTTCTTATCCTTCTATGCTTTGCCTAAATGTTGATTGGCTTACTAATGCTAAATCATCATCATTTATTTCTGCTAATCCAAAGGAGATAAATTAAGTGGAGGTACTATTTTTTAAGGATTCATCATTAGATTCATATTTTAGTCAATATTAATTGGTGGACCCCCAAGTGGGTTACCTTAAGGAAACGGCATAGCATATGGATTATTTAATGGACTCTAAATGTTGAAATTTGGAACAGGATATTGATACGGGGCTGAGTATGGAGGAGGATACCCTCCATAAATATTTGGCATTTAGTTCATCATTCCAGGCATTGGATGCCCTCCATATGGGTTATAATTATAACCTGTCATGTATGGATTCATGCCAGGTTATTGCATCATCATTGGGTTATATTGCATCCCACTTTAGTTGTGAATTGATACATTTTACCTCAAGAGATGATTATTGATGCCTTAACTGTTATTGCTCATTCTTTCTAAATAAGAATTGTGAGACTGATTTTTATTCTTGCCCTCTTCATCTTCAGATGATGATGAAGATCCATTTCCCTTTCCTATCTTCTTCAGTTTCTTTGCCTAGTTTTTCTTTTTCTATTCTAAATCATTCATTCTTTTTAAAAGCTACTCATTCTCACTTAGGAGTTTATCTTCATTCTTGGTTCTTGTATTCAAGATTAATTTTTTCAGATCTTTCTATTACTCCTTTAAAGCCCTAACCAACCCATTTTCTTATTCACGTTCACTATCAGATGCATCATCAATAGATGACTACCCACCTCAACTATTTCCTCTCTATTTTTTAATTTGCTTTTACATTTACTATTCCATCTTCATCAAAACTGCTTTTTCTCTGGCCTCCTTCTCATTTTTCATTTGCTTTTCTTTTAGCTTCAGCTAGAGCAACCTCTTTTCAGCCATAAGCTCATCGAACTTTGACTTCATTTGCATTTACATGTATTATTAATACTGAGCAGCTTACATATCCTAAGCCTACTTAGCTTAAATCTGTGATTAATCAGGCATTGTTGAAGTATTCTAGATTCCAGATTATGAAGGATCATTTCTCGCTTACTAATTGGATGAGTATTTTTATATGTTGGGCATAGGATCTAATTGCTTTTAGCTTTATGCTTTACTTAATTACTATAGTGGTTGCTATTAAGCTCTGGGTGGCTTAGACAATGGATTAAGAATTGAATCAACCACCTTAGTTGATTATAAGTTTGGGTCTGTAGAGAGTAAGGGCTGACTTCTATTTCTTTACATTTTAAAATTAATTTATATAATTAATTGTATTAAAGCAGAGCAGAGCATTTTGCAGAATTGTAATGGGAAAAACAAAAACCACAATCAAATTTGACACCGACAAGAGAAAGTAAGTAAATTCAAATTCCAATTAAACCATTTTAGGGAATACTTGACTGGCTTCAAAAAGAGAAAGGATGAGAGAAGAAAAAGAGCCTAGGATAAGATTAAAAAAGAGGATAAAGATAGAAGAAAGGAACTCGTACACGAAAAGAAAAGAGTATATACTACTATTCTTTATAAATAAATAACTTATATTTTTCTATAGCATCGTGAGAGAATTGAGCAACAATACGAGCAAGTTAAATCCTTGTTGAAGAATGAGTGATATAACTCTATAAGAGTTCAAAGTAGTGAATTAAAATTCACTTGACTCTATTATCATTGATATCAATAGATTTGATTTCCTTAATTAAGACATTGTTTATTTCCTCAATCATATATATTTTTATACTAGAGGGGTTTTGGGGTTTTGGGGTTTCGTGGTCTTCTTTTTCTTTTTGCTTA